GAGACCTATGCTATTAAAAATATATATATATATATATATATATATATATATATATATATATATGACTTTTTCTTTTCCAGGGAGGTACTTTTACCGGAATGGAAACAATCTGTCAGGCAACACATCAAACGGAAAAACGCATCTCCCCAATCGAACAGTTACTAATTGAATTTGAGAAGGATGACGATGCCTATTTTAGAAATGAAAAGAACATTAGGCAGATTCCTTCTGAAATTATGCAGATCCCTTGTGAAACTAGGCAGATCCCTTGTGAAACTAGGCAGATCCCTTGTGAAACTAGGCAGATCCCTTGTGAAACTAGGCAGATCCCTTGTGAAACTATGCAGATCCCTTGTGAAACTATGCAGATCCCTTGTGAAACTATGCAGATCCCTTGTGAAACTATGCAGATCCCTTGTGAAACTATGCAGACTCCTTGTGAAACTATGGAAGTTCCTTGTGAAACTACACAAAACCCTTTTGAAATTATGCAGACTCCTCTTGAAACTATGCAGACCCCATTAGATCCTAAGCAAATTCCTTTTGAAACTACACAAATTCTACTTGAACTCTGGAATTCATTATTAGCTGATGAAAATTTAGTCACTCAATCAAAGTCATTGAAAAGAGCATATTGCGAAAGCTCTTATATAGATGCAGAAATCGTCCCTAAACTGGTAAATATTTATTCTGCAAAGTCCAAATAACATTGATGAGTGTATCTTCTTTCGTTTCTGAACTTTTCACGCTGATTTAGTAAGTTAAAAGTTGTAGTGTGCTTTATGGTGATTTGAATTTTGTCATATTTTTCAAAATGTAGAAGGATTTTCTTGTTTAGATTCTTGAAAGATACTCAAAAAAAATGTCTGGTTTGAGTTGGCTTTGATGTTTTGTTCTGATTCATGATCGATTGATGGGTTATTATTGAGACTTAAGATAAGGCAATCTATTTCTATACCCGTTTTTGCCTTTCCTGAATCTCTTCCCCTACATAGACCATAGGACTTGAGAACTGCACTCTTTCTTGAGTTTGTGATATTGTTATATTCTTTTGAGCACTTTTAGCAATGAATTCATCTGTTTATTTTCTTTTGAAATCATTGCAGGACGATAGTATTGAAGATAGTTCAACTATGTGTACTGAATATCTTAATTCAGATGAATACCATTCATCAAAAAGGTTTAAAACATCATATGATGTTGTAGATGGTGACACACATCTTCTATTTTCCAACCAAGAAGCAAGTCAGAAACAAGAAAGTATATTGCAAGACGATTTTCGGGGAGTGGAGACATCCTCATGTGACTCTACAGTATATAATCCTGAAGAGATCAATTGGAATGAAATATCTAGTTTTCCTTGCACTTAAAGGTCATGGGAAGATTAGTATCATCTAAGACCGAACAACTTCATATGGTCCGAACTAAGAACTTCTACCATTATTGGATTAGTGGATAAGAGTATATGCTATTAAAAATAACTTGCTCTAAAATGAAAATTATGCATTATAATTCAAAAGTATGTATAATAGGAAATGTATTAGAAAGTATTATAAACGGCATGATAAAGTCGTGTGTGTATTTAAGATAGTAGATTGTGTACTAGGATGTTTGTATGGTTATTTGTAGTTTCTGGACAGAGTACTTTTTTTATAGTGAACTTGTGTCTCTAGGATACCAAGTGTATTGCTGAATCAGTTTATTTTCTTTGATTTTAGTATTTAATATTATATTTTATCAGCTTTTGGAATGCATGGACAATGCAGTTATCTTCCCATATCAGTTGAACAAAGGATTGGCTAGACAACCACTTCATTTTTATATTGCTCAGTTGATCTTTGTTTTTTGAAGCAAGGATGGTTTATTCTGGATCATAAAATGGTAACTAGGTGCCTGATTTTGCTCCAGGGACTCTAGACAAATATTCAAATTCAGCATGCAAAAATCCATAAAAGATTCCCTTTCTTAAGGACCCCATTTTTGTATATGGAATCAAGTTTGAGCATATTTACTATGACCAATATCGATGAGCCTGGCTGTTTTTCTTGGGGTGTAAGGGGAGAAAGTTTTGTAAAGATTTGAATTGAATAAGAAATGGCCAATAAGAATACAGAAATCATTATTCATGTTAGTCTTTCATTTAAACATGCCACTCTAAGAAGGCATGCATACATACAAACTTATTAATGACATGAATGAGAAGGGAAAGTGTTAGATTAGACTTGAAAACCAGCCTTGTGCATTTATAATACCAGCTAAAAAGGAAAAGAAAAAGAAAAAGAAAAAGAAAAAGAAAAAGAAAAAGAAAAAGAAAAAGAAAAATTAAGGTGTGAAGAAACATTTGAAACACATCTCTCGTGCAATATCTAGCAAGCATTGATCTTACCACCAGCAGTCCAGTAATACCTTTAGTAGAAAAAGTTTATTGTTAACCATAAGTACAACAATTCGTTAAAACGAAAGATGGGGTGAGAGAGGCTCGAACTCTCGACCTCAGGATAACTCGATAAAGCTATGAGACCTACGCGCTAGCCAACTGCGCCACCACCCCTTGATATTTAATGTATTACTAAATATTTTAATACACATCACTATATGATTCAATTTTAGCTATAAAATATTGAGCCAGTTAAAATAAGTTGATTTGGTTGAAGTTTAGATTTAATAATCTCATTTATCATAATACAGATGTTTAAATAATGGTGGGTTAGTTTAAAATTAATATAAAAACCAAATCGGTACCAAGTTCATCAATCCCTACCTAGGGAATTTGGGTCGAGTGTTCTTGCCGAAGGGCATAGGTCTCTAAGGCCTTATACTAATTGTTCCAACAAATATAAGAATTACTTTTTTCACCCGTCTTTTATTTTTACACCTCCATGAGGGTGTAGGAAAAGCCTAATAGGTCCACACCTGATCTGAATTGTGAAATTTAAAAGCATATTTACAGTTGCACAATCTAAAATGCATTACTAAATTCATAATATGTTTTTCAAGTTTTCGAATTAATCCAGATATATATTTTGAAATGTACTATTTTTTTTACTATTAGTAAACGGTCATAATATAGTATAATAATTTTTTTTACTATTTAAGTAATGACTTATTTTTTTATCATGTTTTATTTTATAGTGCTAAGTATCTATTTATTTTGTTAATAACTTGTTTTTAATAAGACATATAGTTGACTATTTTTAACAAGATTTTTTCTAGTAATGTATCATCCCAACATACAGTAATTACCATAATTCAGAATTAATTACGATTAACAGTAAACAGTAAACAGTCTTTACATTAAGAAAGCAGAATTCAAAAGCCGAACGGCTTGAATACAAAAATAGCGTACGTTCAAAGTGAACAGAAACCAATAGGACGAACGACTTTACAAAACACTTAGCCGAACGTTCAAACTACGCTAACATTTACAGTACTAA